ACGGTATCAAGGTTCCAACATACCGTGAACTCCCGCGCATCCCTTACAATGCCTTGAGGAATCACGTCGATCAATATGTCCAGGTTCAGATCCATCAATGAGTCGAGACTAATCACATCCTGCTGATTGGCGAAGAACAAGGCAATAAAGATGCCGAAAATGCCTCCAAGCGCGAAGATGAGTCCATTGCGCCGTTTGCTCCTCGGTCGGTAGAAGAACGATCCGGTTTTCGGTTTTTCGTGAATGACGACTGTCTGAGTATCTGACGATGACTTTCCGTTGTCGTCGTGAGACTTGTCCGTAGTCTGCTGGACGTCGTCGTCCTTTGCCAGGCGACGGCGGAGCATGTGGGCGACCGCCAGGAACTGCCTTTAGTCGAACAAAATGCTGCAATTGATGTAGGGCCTAACTCAGGCTGAGGAGATAACTTGAAAACGATAGCTCTTAAACTCCGAGAATCAAAATGACAAAAACAAAGTAGATAAAAAGAGTCGAAAGTGAAAGCTGAAAAAAAAAAGGTACCCAAAAACAGCGACAGGCATCGGAATCACATGGGGAGCAGGAACCCGGACGTCATGCGAGAAACTCGAATTCCTCTAGGAAACTTTCTCGGACAACCAACCTCCATCATTCGACGCAGCGCAATCACAAGCTACTCACATCCGTCCTTTTACCGGTTCCCCCATCAGACTACAGAAAACAAGCTCCACCCTCAAGTCCGTCTTGTCCGTCTCCCACAATCACTCCCCCACCTCCTCCCCTCGATGACTCCGTAATGAGCCAGGATGTCTCTTCACCCGCAGAGCCCACAGCTACTGCTGCTGCTGCTCCTTCAGACCTCCGCTATGTGCGCTACGATGGCTCCCGCGAAAACGACTACGTCTCCGCAATGAGACAGCTTATTTCCAAAGATCTCTCGGAACCGTACAGCATCTACGTCTACCGCTACTTCCTCTATCAATGGGGTGATCTGTGCTTCATGGCCATGGACGATGCAAAAGAGAAAGACCACATGGTAGGCGTGGTGGTTTCGAAACTCGAACCGCACCGGGGCGGTCCCCTGAGGGGGTATATTGCCATGCTGGCTGTGCGGGAGGAGTACCGTGGGCGAGGGATAGCGACCAAGTTGGTGCGGATGGCAATTGATGCGATGATAGAGCGAGATGCCGATGAGGTAGGTTTACCTGCGAACAGGGCTTGCAGGGGGGAAGTGGGAAGAAGGTTGACTGACGGCGTTCTGCTTGCACAGATTGTCCTAGAGACGGAAATCACAAACACTGCGGCCATCAAGCTGTACGAGCGCCTGGGCTTTTTGCGGAGTAAACGTTTGCATCGGTATTACTTGAATGGCAATTCCGCCTACCGGCTGGTGTTATACCTAAAAGAAGGGGTAGGGTCCATCCGAACGAGCATGGATCCGTACAAAGCTCCAATTCCTCCTCCTGCACCGGCTCTACTGCGTGAGAACGGCCGTGGCTGATCTCGCAGCGGAACTGATGGAACGCTTCCCCTAACATATTGATGCATTTACGACACATTGGACGATATAGATGATTATACCTTACCAAATTGAACATACAATCCACTACTGAAGTACTGCTTTGCTAGATGTCGAGCTTTGGCTGACTTGAATGGCTCTCGGCGATCTATGATCCTCTCGGGCTCTATTCGAATTATATCTCTATACACGCTATATACATTCATGAAGTCGGGGGTGGAGGGGTGATATCTATTTACATGTAATGTACAAAAGAGGTAGCTGAAGTCCGATGACAACCCAACCAATATTCAAACACGCACCTTACACCCATGAATGTGCCAATCATCAGCAGTATGCAAGAATCCGCTCAACATGATATACACTCGGTGGGCTCCATAGCCACCAAATAAAATATGCAACGTACAGGCTCAAATGAAGATGTAAGAAAACAAGCCCTAAAAATGGCGGACTCCGGTGGGAAATGCGAATGAAAGCTGGACAATAGTACATCTTCCTTAAATTGACAAGAAAATGCTTTATGCAGGGGTGGCGAAGAGGTCCGCCTTGCGGACAGGTATGTGGATGGAATTCTGCATCACCCATTGCGTTGGCCTTGGGATGCCCTTCCATCCACGATCCATCACGGCGGCAGCCTCCAGCATGATAGAAAAAGGCACAGATGGCTGATATCGAGGTCCAATCTCGATATCACGCTTCACAAGCGCTGAGGCGAGGCTAAGTTGCTTCGCGCGTTCTTCTCCGCCTGGCTTATAACCGGACGCAAGATAAGCGACCGGATTGTCGAGATACTCGTCTGGCACATTGTCCAGAATAGCATCGTCGAATGGGTACACGGACTGACCAAAGTCGACACCAACAATGATGTTGCCGGCACTAGTGCTCCAAACGTTATCGATCAGGTCTCCTTTGTTCCGAGGCACATTCCGTGCCAGCGAGGTCAGAACAGACTGCTTCATCTTGTATGTCACCTGCCTGCGCATGCAAGCATACCGCCATAGCACGCGACAGATGTTATAATTTCGGCCTTTGAAAGCGATTAGAAAAAGCATCTCCCACGCCTTCTTGTCCAATTGCGTCTCGGGGCGATCCAGACAACGAAACATGTATCGAAGAGCGGACTGGATATCAGAGCGAAACAACGGCAGGATTGAGTTGACAGTGGCGCTGTCAAGCGCAAAGCCTTGCTGCTCGCATATTTCAAGCAACCGGTCAATTGCGTCGTAGTGTCTCAGTCGCACGGTGACACTTAACATCTGATTGATCAGAGTTGGGGAAAACCAGTTTGCCCCGTATGTATCGATAATCATATTAAAGAAAGCGTCGACACTTTTACCGTTTTGTAAATGCGCCAAGAATGTATCTTGGATCGTTAAATGCAGTGCCGTCCGCATCGCACCGGCGTCCGACAAGTAACCTTTCTGCAGCATGAAGTTGACAAGACTTGCTTTCGCATTGGGAGAGACGAGACAATCAAGGAAAGCGATCCAGGTGTAGGGGTTCGGTCGAATGTGCATTCGCGACATGGAATTGAGGAAACCACGAAAAACCTGGATGTCCTGTCTATTGGCCGCAGATTTCAGAAGCATATTAAAAGTATCAACGGTCGCGACATGTTCGGCCTTGACGAAAACCGTGCGAGCATCGTCCAAGATTTCATTCTCGAACAGATATGAGAGCGCTCTATTCAGTGCTGCAGTCGAAAAATATTCGCGGTTTGCGTCATTTTGGAAAAGAGCGACAAGCGCAGCAGCGACTCGCTCACGGTGATGAGTGCCGGGTTTCCCTCTAATGACTTTCGAGGACGGCCGAGACCTGGTCAATTCCTCTACATGTTCGGCGAACTCCCTGACACTCGATAGTTTGGCAGACAAGTTGAGAAGCGTGTCCAGTGGCGCTGGTTGCTTGAACGCCTGGTAAAAGTCCCAGACACCTCGGACAAGTGGAACTGGGAGATTCTTGCGTCGCATGGCCTCAATGGAAGGATACACCGGAACTGGGGGCTTCCTTATGTCGACTAGAGGATCACCCTGATCCTGTGACGTTCGTGCCCGCATGATGTGATCCCCGACCAATTCCACACTCCGCTTCGATCCTGACAAAATGACCCTCCTATGCTGCCCTTCGCTCTCTAGAGGGTGCAACACATGAACACGGCATCCGTTGCGAACTGGTACATACCAAACATTCTCCTTCATCGCCATGTCCGTGATGCCCGCCATGAGCGCTACCGTTTCCTCCGGTATAAGGAGCTCCTTTTGCACCGGCCCCTTCTTGGGCCACAGCCGAGACTCCTGTTGCATCTCTTCCAACAAGTCTCCCACTTTGGTCCACCGACCCCATTTATCTCGTGACCCATGGTCCCCGCTCATTCGCGAAAGATAAAGCCTATATCTCAATTTTTTCCGATCCCTAACCGACAAGCTTTCCATGATTCCGATCGCTTTGTCCTGGGCTGAGGAATTTGCCATCGACGTTTGCGTGTTCGTGAAGATGTTGGACGGCCGTCGGTCCTCTCTTGTAGCATTCGGTGACTTTTCGCCCGGCACTTCTGATGCATGCAGCGATGTTGACGACTCGTGGTCTGCATTGGCGGCCGTTTCACTCGCTACAGTGTCAAGGCTTCCACATTTATCGTCAGTGCTTTCTAGTCTCTGTGGTTTTGTAGGTCCTATTCTCCCTTTTTTTTCAACATTTTTACGCCCGGGTAGTGAGCCAGCTGGCTCAGCAAGGCCGGTCTCGACAGCGGAGTGAGTGGATATCCATCGCCTTGCGAGACTCCCGAAAGACGATTTCCGGCGACGAGACGACGCTCGGAAGACGAGACGAGCGGAGCACAACGGATTCTTCGCGGACGAAGAATAATGTATTGACGATATTGATCTTTCTTTTTGCAAGGTCGATGTAAACCAGCGAGGGTAGAGAAAGAGTAAGGGTTCTTCGGGGCCAGCGGCGACGTTGTCCAAGACGGCGGATAGACCACGTCTTCTCAGACACGGATTACCGCGCGAGAACATATGGTAAGAGACAGACAGATTCCCAGAGGCATGTGAGGTTGATACGTTAGGAGAATGTGTCTATTTCGTGTTGCGTGCGCACGCTGGTAGAAAGTCGATTAGAGGTCAAGCTCGGTCTGGAGTTCAGGAAAATTGTTTGCGGTGCCAGAACGGCAGGCGGTGAATATGGAACTACCCAAGCTTCCTCCATGCGGAGCATCGGAAGCATTGCGAATTAACAAATCTCAGCTAACCATCGATCTGACGCTGCACTGAATTATTCAGTCCTGGTGACTCCGTAATAAGCTTACTTGATGTTAGACTAGAAAGGTGTCTGGGCAACAATTTTGTCCACAGCATGTTGTTATTTGACCCTTGAAATGGGGTACTAGACGCTAGAAGCAAAAAAACAAGGTCCAGAGCTCAACAAGCTCAACACAACCGTCGACATGCCGTCAGTTGCAGCAAGCTAACTACCTCTTCATCGAAGGACTTACGTCCAGGGACTAAGAAGGACGGTGTATATGGCCTTCAAGGCCGATTTCCGCTGCCTCAGGGATACCCTTGATCTGTCCGCCATTGTCGACGGATCTGAACAAGGACCTTTTGGAGCAGTTCTCCAACAGATCATGCTTCGAGGCAGGAGTCAAGTTCATCGACTCGTGATGCTCGGAACCCAATAACTCGGGCCCTGTGATATGCCGTCTCACTGTCTCTGCAGCTTTCGTGAGATTGTTTTGTTTGCGGCGCATCTCTTCGGCGTCTGAATTATCTTTTTCGGCTCCTGCCTGGGAGAGCTCGTTGATGACACTCACCAAGTGGGTGAGGAACTGCCATCTCGAGTTTTGGAAGACAAACATCGACATGATTTCAGGGATCTACCAGGCAGTCAGTGGGCTGTTTATTAGAGATGAGAAACGAGTGATGGGGATACCTTGTCATCCAGGTAATGAAGCTCTTCGCCCCCCTCCTCGATGAAACGCTTCAGAGCGTCTATCTTCTCACGATCAACAATGGCAGCTCTCAGGGCATACATTAGCGTAGGAATATTTCCTATCTCTTCCAATGGAGCCTCCTCTTCCACTCCAGTGGTTGCGCGGCTCAGATGCCCCGACGTGGGCTGCCGGGACGCCGCTATTGAACTGGCGGCTTTGCTTTGCTTCCGTGCGGAGTGAATTGTGAAATAATCCTCATTGAGCATGTGAGCCATCTCGAACCCCGATCGGCCACGATGTGTCTTCTCCGCAGCGCGCTTTACGCGCAGTCTAACCCATCGCCGTCTTCGAACAAACGAATGGAACCAGGGATGAGATCCATGCCAGGCTTTTGAGCTAAACGAGAACGAATACTGCCAGCCCTGGTCGTCGACGTCGCCGGACATATCGACATACCATGACCGCCAAGCCCATTCCCAGCTTGGATCTGGCAGTTGAGCGTTGGTGATGTTGACAGGGCTCTCGCGGAAGTCGTGGGTGACCCAAGGGCTAGGGTCGAAATTGAGCAGCGAGCTGTGAGAGTACAACGGAATGCCGAAGAAGAACCAACCGCGCTGGTTTTCGTAGAGGATGTCCAATTCGCTGACGGAATGAGCACATTTATTGCTCTTGTTGCAGTCGTAGTTCTGCTGTTGGTGATGCACCGCGGAATCGCGCTCTCCGTTCGTTGAGGACGCAAAATCCGTCGCATCGATTTCATGCTGCTCGATTCCGGATTGAGAGGGGCCAGATAAAGCGCTCTCCCCAGATATGGTATTTGTATTCGTATCCATGTGAGACAGTGGATTCACCAACTGTGACGGCTTTCTGCTTGAGCTATTGTCCTCTGAGAGCCTCAATCGGTCTTTCTGCCATTTGGCATACTTTCGTCGCTTGAGTTCACCACGCACGGACACTCTGCTGAATCGCCTGGAGCCGGCTCGCGATCCTGCAGCCGTGGGGGTTTGAGACAGCGCCTCTTCATCGACTGGGTGATGTGAGGGGTCGGTATGGTCGATGAGGGAAATCCGGCGAATGTCTTCCATGGTAATGATTACTCCACGGATTACCTCGATATTATATCAGAATTTTTGTTGAAATAGGCCTCCAAGTTTGTCTTGGCAAGGCACAATGACATTATCACAACATGACCTTCAAAGAATCGGTATAGGGTATCAATCAATGTAAAGACAATAGCAAGGAGCGGAAGTAGATGAACCCGGCATCCACTGAAGCCTCGTGCCGAACGAAAGGGATAGGAGCATACAGCTCTTATAAGCTTGCAATCCAAGAAAATAGGACAAACAAACGCAGACCTAGTGGCGACTCAGTCCCCGACAAAATCAGTAGCGAATAGAAATCCCAGACAGAAACAGTAAATTAGAGACACAAACAAAGGGGGTAGAAGTGCAAGTTTTAAAGCTCAATGGAGAGATCTCTCACAAACCAGATCGATGACATCGTTGCGGGGCCTTGATCGACAGCGTGCCTTAGGCAGCAAACACATCTCCTTAAGAGCCTGAGGCATCAAGTCTCGACACCTAACAATCACTATCGATAGGTACCCAGCCCATCCAGAGTAAATAATGATAGAACATCCCGCACCGCGTCCACCATCAACAAATCAACAGAACCAACCAACCACAGCAGCATAACAACGATGTCAACCCCTCACTACCGCAAAATCGAGCTCCAATCGCCCGCAGACTTCACCTACCTCTACGCCAACACCGTTGCCCTCTCCCGCCAAAAGCTCGATCTCCATCTTCCCCCCTCGGCAAACACAAGCGATGGACCCGATCCAATGCGAGAACGCGTGAAGGAATTGGTCGACCAGGTACTCTCCTCTCTTCTCGCCGGGAATTAACATGTCGGCTCGATTCTCACACATTGAATAATAGTACATCAATAAAACATTCACCACCGCCTCCGCCTCAATCAGCATCAACGGCCTCGACTCCTCCTCGCCACAGTTCCCCTTCCCCGCTGCGTTCACGCAGCCAACAGAGACAATCGAGTACGAGCCTTACGATACCGAGCTCGCAGCGCGCGTGACATCGCTCTACGCCCAGCTGGAGTCACTTACCGCGACAGTCGCGCAGTTGAGGCGGGATGCGCCGGCGCGTGCGGCGAAGGCGTACGCAGATCAATTGAGCAAAGCTATCGAGGAGGATGAGGAGGATATTGACGAGGACGAGGATGTTGATGGTGGAGATGGAAATGAAAATGAGGATGGGGATGGCGAGAGGAAGGGCCAGGGTGAAGAGGACGTCCCTATGCCTGACGCGGATGCGCGAAGCACGACGACGCCGAACCAGCCACGCAGGCTACGCCGGAGACCCTCAAAATCGAAGTCTGCGCGGTGGAACTTGCAGATCCCCCTCGGGTCGGAGCATGAGGCGGAGCGCTGGCGCAGCGGGGAGATGGCGGAGGTTTATGACGATGCATTGCGGACTTTACTCCGGCTTCAGGGCGAGGGGGTCCCTGGCGAGCAAGCCGAGTCCAAAGCTGAGAGCGGGCCGGATGGGAATGCTCTGGCGTCGACGCTGGGAAAGGCAGAACGAGCGGGTCGGGCTGTGGAAGTTGTGGAGAAGATATGAAGCTGAAGCGTTTCCCTATTTCTTGTCTGTATGTTTTTTTTTTTTTATTATTATTATTATTTTTGGTTCTTGGCGATATCCCTCTGGTAGGTTACTTGGCGTTGGACAGGCTAGTGGTAGTGATACCAATCTCATTTACAGACATTATTTCCTGCATTTCTCATCAGATGTCTCGAATGCCGGTTGGGTTAGATCAAAGGAAAACAGTGTATGAGAACGGGCAGTCATTGTATTGACTATGCATAAATCATGTACCAAATTCCAGACGATGAACTCTTTATATTCAATCCAGCCATTCGTTATTATCCTTGCCCCCGTCTATAAAAGAACCGCGCCACTCAGTCGGAGTTGTTGACTATCTATGTTTGGAGATTGGAAAGAGGAAAGAGATATAACGTCCGGTCGGCTCTACAAGCCACTCCACCAGGGCAACATTTGACCAGTTATTGAATTTATGCGATGTTGAAATGCGAGCAGAAAGGACACGGTTGAAGGCACGAGAAGTGTGGCTGTCCCAGGGATGAGTGATAGAGACAGCGTGGTAAAGTACACGCAGGGCGACATGGATGATAGCTGAATTCCTTTACCACATGAATCCAAGAATTTATGTATGCAAGGCAAACGAGAAGAAAAAAAAAGAGCAAGAAGGACGAATGGCCTACGCAACGGGCTGAGAGACCTCTTGCGCGGCGGGATCCTTCACCTCAGGGCCTGAAGCTTCATTTTTCACGACATTCTGCTTCTCCTTAGGCAAAGCCCACTTGGGCGTCTTGGTCCACTCGGGCTCTTGCCAGGGACCCATATCGCTGAGCTCACAGCCTCCAGCGCACTGGCAGGTACCGCCGAATTCAACGGGGAGGTTCTCAGCGGGGACCTGCTCCAGCAATTCCTTCTTGTAACCGGAACCAAGGACGTGGATCTTCTGTACGGTGACGGGGTCGAGGAATCCCTTGACGACGTTGAACACGCTGCTGAAACCCCAAGGGGCGTTGATCAGGTACAGCTTGCCCAGTCGCTCGGGGTAGTAGTTCTGCGAGATGGCGGAAGCCTGACGCACGTATCCGTACACGGAGGGGACGCTTGTGATGCCGACGCCCTTCAGGTCCATGATGGTGCAGCAGGTCTCGAGCAACTTGCCGGCCTTGCGCGAGCAGGCGGGCAGCCGGGGGTCTGAGAGCTTCTCGTACTCGCACACGAGGTTCTGCAGCATGCGCTCGGCAGTTGTGATCTTGTACATGGCGTTGAGATCGATCTTGCCCAACTTCTCAATGTAGACAGGGCGTCCATCCTATCCCACAAAACTATACATTAGCACGTAGATGACAGACTACTATGCAAGCACCAAAAGGAGGCCTACCTTGTCTGTCTTGTGGTAGTATTGAGGGTAGTACTGGAAGACCTGGGGCTTCTCCTTGTAGTCGAAGGTGCGAACGAGGTCGTCGGTGCCGAATTCTTTCCGCCACTTCTCACAATCGATAAACCTGGCAAAAACAACCAATCCACGTATTAGTCCATGGAACAATGCTCAGCATCCACAGTAGCCTTTGAGGACAACGAGGCAGGACGGTCAAAAAACATACATGGTCTTAGCGGCAGCCACATCAAACTTCCGGGCTCTCAAGAAGCGCAGCATGGTCAGGGTGTCCAGTCTCTCCGTGTATCCCTCTTGCTCCAGCTCACTGCGGAGCTGCTCGACCTTTGCATCCTGCTCTGGGGTGGTGTGGCCAGGGTGGCCCGGCTGGGCTTCAGGCGCAGTGGTCGGGAAATCGTAATCGTCATATTTCGATGCCGTGACCGACTGGTTCTGAGCGACAGCAGCCATGTTTGCTAATATGGTAGGATCGAATTGAGAAGGACCCAAGGTGAAGGAAGGAACGAAGACTTGATATAGAAATCGAGGGCTGGTCAAGAGCTTTAGTGAGAAATTATCGAAAGGGGGAGTGAAGTGGGGAAATAGATAGATTGAAGGAGGCGGAGTTCAGAAAGTATAGGTAGTCGTTTTCTTGATCGCTTCAAAGGTGGCAACCTGCAGTCGAGTGAGAGGAGGAGGAAGATGGATCGTTGTAGATCATAGCATAACCACGGAGGAGAAGGATCAAATTGAGCTGACCGAGTAATAAGTTTCCGTCTTCCGTCCTGTCGACCAGCAAGAGACGGTCAAGAAATGCGAGAAGAAGGGAGGGCCTCTAAAACGAACCCGCTAGTGTATCAAGAGGACAGAAAAACTACGTATACCGTATACGTACAAACACTACTACTACGAGATCCACCCGTCTGAAGAAGTGTCGGTCTGCATCAAAAGCAAGATCAGAAAGATAGGAGTTCGAAGTCTTAGGTAGGTATAGATAATGGCCAACAGGACTATTTCCTCCCATTAATATAATATAATACCTACCGACCTTTGCGGGGCTGCAAAAAGCCACTTGGCTGGCACTTATCAGCAAGCGACCTACTATTGAGGAAAACCTGGCTCACACATGTAGAGATCATAAATAGTAGACATAGATATTGATACATATTTACATAGACAGTCAGTGCTAATTACACTGGCGTGTCTGTGTCTCACATTATCCTCATCAGAAGCAGGTTCATAGAGGGCATTGGTAGGGATCTGATCGACTCCAAGACCAAGGCAATAGCACATGGTCCACCCAAGCTAAATCAGGATGGAGAGTAGGGTGTCATTCAACAAGACATGAAGAAGAAAAAGACAAAAAGACACCAAGCCGAATAAGTTTACAAGCAGCGCAGAGACGCAGAAAAAGACCAACCACCCGGTACAAGGCAAGATGGGACAGTAGATGCAACTCATACCGCCGAAAAAGAATCAGAAACCATAGTCGTCAAACAGTGGTGTATCAAGAAGCATGCACAAAATATCAATCATCCAACAGGTATAAACGTTGCAGTAAAAGACAATACTGTAATAATAACGAAATAAAAAAACCAACAAGACAAGCTCAAGCCCTGGGCAGCTATGGCGTATTCTCGAACCAGCGAGACATCCATAACCGGGGCGAGATATGTGCTCACATCCTCACCATATTACAAAGATCCTCCCGAGTACCCGCAGGATAAGAGTATAAGGTATAAAAGAGAACAAGTCATAGGGTATCTGAAATATGTCCCCTGGTCGAACGCCTAGACCCATGCGAGGGACGTTCATTGCGACAGGGAACGGAGTAGAATATCGTCCATCACCGTTTCGTAACGCGGAGCAGGTCTTCTCATGTCGAGTCCGCGCCCAAGGTGTCCTTAGGCAGCGCGTCTGAGATCTCGCCCTCGCTCATCAAATGGAGGACTGTAACACAGCATGGCCTTTAGAATGAAGAATTCGGAATTTCGTCTGGATGCTCGCTGCCAACCATCTGCTCCATCTCATACACATCGTAATATCAAATTATGGTAAGACGCTGCGCCAATCGTCTTACCAGCCCTTCTTCCGC